CGGCGGACTTACTGTCCGATGAGGATGTTCTAGTCTCCCCCATGTTTGAATCCACAGCTGCAGACCTGAGGTCTGTGATCCGAAAGGACCTGTTGTCAGAGTGCTCTGTCATCTCCACGTCTCTGGAAGACAAACAGGTAAAGGAGTCGAGTGGCTTAGAGGCAGAAAGTGATATCCTCAGCTGGGTGGTGGTGACACAAGCCTTTGATCCCAGCACTCGGGAGGCAGAGGCAGGTGGATCTCTGTGAGTTCGAGGACAGCCAGGGCGGTCACACAGAGAAACCCTGTCTCGAAAACCCAAAACAAAAAAAAGGGCAAGGGCTGGAGAGAGAGATAGCTCAGCAATTAAGAGCACTGGCTACTCTTCCAGAGGTACTACATTCAATTCCCAGCACCGACATGGTGACTCACAACCATCTGTCATGAGATCTAGTACCCTCTTCTGGAATGCAGGAATACATACAGGCAAAACACTGCATACAAAATAAATCTTTTTAATAGCAAACAAACAAACAAACAGGGCAAAACAATTGGAAAATAGGTGATGGCACATGCCTTTAATCCCAGCATGAGGCAGGCAGATCTCTGTGAGTTCAAGGTCTGGTCTACAGTGCTAGTCTAAGATAGCTAGGACTGTTAGACAGAGTAACCCTGTTAGGGGTGGAGAGGAGGGAAAAATATTATTGGCATTATGTTCCTGAAATACCCCAAGTTCATCATGTTTTCAGTTAATTGATGAGGGGATAATCTTATTTCTCCAGTATTTATTTATGTTAAATAAGAGGTGAAAGGATGGAGAGTGTGAGAATGCATGTTTGGTATGTCCTAGGTTCAGATCTTAGCACCAATACAATGTTTGCACATGACCATAGTGGCCTTAACTAGGTAGAATGGAATTCATGTTTCAATAATAACCATAGCTGCCTTTGTTTTAACCTTTCATTTGTAAGGCCAAAGATTCTCAGTAATGGCACTATTCATGTTTGGAGTCAAACCCTTGTTGGAGGGGGCTGCCCTATGCTTGGCAAGATGTTTAGTAGCATTTCTGGCTGCTATCCACCAGATGCATTACCTTTTCACTAATTGAAATTCAGTGTCCTTGGGAATAGACATTCTCTAAATATCTGCTGAATAAACAGAGTGATTGCTGTTTAACTTCATTCTTCAGATAAGTCACTCAGAACTTTGTTCATGGTCTCCTAATTACTAAGTGATTAAATTGGAACTCAGATTCAGGCATGTCTATTCTTATTTGATGGTGTCTGTGGTGTGAGTGTGTGTGTGTGTTGGGGACACACATGTGGAGGTCAGAGGACAACTTTGTAGAGTCAGTTCTCTTCCATTTTTATATGGATTCATATGATTGAACTCAAGTTGGCAGTCTTGTTCAGCAAGCTGAGCCATCTTGCTGACCCAATTTTCATTACTGAGCTTTGAAAAAAAAATTATTGAATTGGAACATTGGCTTAGGGTTAAGAGCCCTTCCTGCTCTTCCAGAGGACCCAAGTTAAATAAATTAAAAAAAAAAAATTGGGGGGGGGTAGTCTTTGTAGTCAGTCACTGGCTTTAAGTTTCCGATTCCCATGTCTTCTTACTACTGGATATTGGGATTACAAGCACACACCACCATCCCTGGTACATGCTGGTTTTCAAACATCAACCAATTCTAACTCAGACCACTGGAATAGCAAGCCAGATTTGCAGGGCAGTGATGAGACAGGAAAGGATACAAAGCTCATGTGAGCTAGAATGATTGTGGAACCAAAGAATAGTTAGTGATACAGGATCATTGAGATAGGATTGGTAGCATGCTTCCCAGGAACTGGGCTGTTTGCCCATTTGCTTAGAGGTTAACTCTATGTCCTGGCTGAAATCTGTTACAGGCTCCATTTGAGGACACTGCAGAGAGGGTGAAAGTTTACCTTCGAATCAGACCCTTCTTAACTTCTGAGTTGGACCGACAGGAAGACCAGGTGAGGATTTAAGGTGGAATAGTGTAGTACAAAAGAGGCTCCCTAGGAATGCTTCTTTACTATGGTGACCTCTACTTTCTACTTCTCAGGGCTGTGTCCGTATTGAGAATACAGAAACCCTTATGCTACAAGCACCCAAAGATTCCTTTGCCTTGAAGAGCAACGAGAGGGGAATTGGTCAGGCTACCCACAAATTCACCTTTTCCCAGGTATGCAATACTGGTGTAAGAACATAGACCCAATACTTTATCTTTTCTGGGATTAAAGATGTGTGCCACCTCTGCCCAGCTTTATTTCTTCTTTAAAAGATTTCTTCCTAAGTGTGAGTTCTTTATGTGTGTATCTATAACTTTGGGACCTTGTCATGTGCCAGTCAATGTGTCGGGTACTTTATATGCATTCACTCCCACCTGTTATAATTACTATTATCTCTTTTCCCTGATGAGAATACTATGGCTCATATTACAATGAAGGTAATTTTGCTGAAACCATAGAACTAGTAAGTGGAAGACAGGACTGGGATCTAGAGCCACCATCTCCAAATCCTTGCTTATACCCAATTATACTATCCCCTTATATGCACAGCATCACAAAAAGCAGTCCTTAAGTATTTAATTTTGAAGAAAAGGACTAGCAGAGAGGGATTGAGTCTTCAGCATTTAGGAACAGCTGGAGTCCAGCTGGAAAACCTGCTTGAGTAGTCCCCAGAGAAGGAGCACACCTACTAGTCCTACACAGGAAACATGGCAGTGTGGCCTCTGATAAACAGGTCTGTTTTAGATATTTGGACCAGAAGTGGGACAGGCACCCTTCTTCAACCTGGCTGTGAAGGAGATGGTAAAGGATGTACTCAAAGGGCAGAACTGGCTCATATACACATACGGAGTCACCAACTCAGGGAAAACCTACACAGTTCAAGGTAAGTAGTGAGCTTCAGCAGGGTTACTAACCAGCATCTATCTAATGGTTGTCTTTACCTTTGGATGCCAAGTGAAAGACACTATCTCTGATATTCTTCCAGGTACTATTAAGGATGGGGGGATCCTGCCTCGGTCCTTGGCTCTCATCTTTAATAGTCTCCAAGGCCAACTTCATACAACACCTGATCTGAAGCCCTTGCTCTCCAATGAGGTAATCTGGCTGGACAGCAAGCAGGTTCGACAGGAGGAACTAAAGAAGCTGTCCTTGCTAACTGGAGGCCTCCAGGAGGTGAAGTATTGGTGAAGCTGGGATAAAGTACAGAATTCAGGAAAGACTTGTGCTTATCTTCTCTCTTTGCCCCTTCAGGAGCTGTCCACATCGTTGAAGAAACGTGTCCACATTGACAGTCGGTTGGGTACCAGCACCAGCTTTGACAGTGGCATTGCTGGGCTCTCTTCCACCAGTCAGTTCACTAGCAGTAGCCAGCTGGATGGTATGTGCCATGAGTAGGCTCTGTGCTGGGCAATGGTGGGGACCCACTCCCTACACCCAGTAGCTAGCTGTGAGGGGTATAGGTCAGAGACTGCAACTTGAAGTCCATCTTTTGAAGTTCCTATAGATCAAGGCAAGATGAAATGCTCCTTGGTTAATGAACTACAAACACTTTGGTTTTTTTCATAGAAACAAGTCAGTCATGGGCACAGCCAGACACTGCCCCAGTAAGTGTCCCAGCAGACATTCGCTTCTCTGTCTGGATCTCCTTCTTTGAGATCTACAATGAATTGCTTTATGACCTGTTAGAATCACCTAGCCATCAGCATAAGAGACAGACACTGCGGCTGTGTGAGGATCAAAACGGCAATCCTTATGTCAAAGGTATGCAAAGGGAGAGCAGGTTGCTAGGAAACCAGGAGGGACATGTGGGCAAATTGGAAAAGGGGCTAAGTGTTCCCACCTTTCTGTCTTGACCCCAGACCTCAACTGGATTCATGTTCGAGATGTTGAAGAAGCCTGGAAACTCTTGAAAGTGGGTCGTAAGAACCAGAGCTTTGCTAACACCCACCTGAACCAGAACTCTAGTCGAAGGCAAGTTATGAGAATTAACTCTTCCCTGTGTCTAGGAAGCTTTAGTTCTCCACCTGATTGTTGAAGACATTATAGTGATTTTTTTTTTTCCCCTTCCTTTTCAGTCACAGCATCTTCTCAATCAGAATCTTGCACCTTCAGGGAGAAGGGGATATAGTGCCCAAGATCAGTGAGTAAGTTTTCCCACTTAAAACTGTGATCATCTTGGCCACCTAGTTGTGGGGGCAAGGGGAACTTCTCAAAGGAATTAATTAGTGGTGAACGGCTAAAGGAAGCAGGAAACATTAACACTTCTCTGCATACCCTGGGTCGATGTATTGCTGCCTTGCGACAAAATCAGCAGAACCGGTAAGCTGTAGGCAAGGATGGCCTGGGGCTTGGTGATTTGGTCACTTACAGGTCACCAGTGAGGCTGGAGCCTAGAAACTTCCAGGGCTGAAGTTATGTTGACAATGCTATTTATCTGATTCTCTGCAAGGTCAAAGCAGAACCTGATTCCTTTCCGAGACAGCAAGTTGACTCGTGTGTTCCAAGGCTTCTTCACTGGTCGAGGCCGTTCATGTATGATTGTCAATGTGAATCCCTGTGCATCCACTTACGATGAGACTCTTCATGTGGCCAAGTTCTCGGCCCTTGCCAGCCAGGTGTGAAGCTATGGGCATGGATGACGGTGCTTACTTTGGACTGGCAACCCTAGGATAGCTCTTAGGAACTAAAGAGTCAATTAAGATTTTTTTTTTCTTCCTGTAGCTTGTGCATGCCCCACCTGTACATTTGGGAATCCCATCCCTGCATTCATTCATCAAGGAACACAGTCTTCAGGTATCCCCTGGCTTAAAGAAAGGAGACCACACCGACTCAGGCCTTGATGACCATCCTGAAAACGAAGCTGACATCTCCATGTATGGCAAGGAGGTGAGATACAAGAAAGCGCTAGATAGCAGCTTGATGGCTGTACATTTTCCCTAGTGTGTTCCAGATGGGTTTGGGTCTTTTGCTGCTGGAGGATCTTAAGATCTCTTACAGATGTGTTCTTTCTAGGAGCTATTACAAGTGGTGGAAGCCATGAAAACACTGATTTTAAAGGAACGACAAGAAAAGCTGCAGTTGGAGATGCAGCTCCGGGAGGAAATTTGCAATGAGATGGTAGAACAGATGCAACAGCGGGAGCAATGGTGCAGGTACTGGCCAAGTGACCCTTTCTACTGAGTTGTTGGGTCTAGGGGCACAAAAACTGGAGGAACAGACCACCAAAGTCTGAAACAGAAGCAAACTTTATTCCAAAAAATTGGGGTGGAGAGATGGCTCTTCTAACTGCTCTTCCAGAGGTCTGAGTTCAAGTCCCAGCAACCACGTGGTGGCTTAAACCTCTATAATGAGATCTGGTGCTCTCTTCTGGTGTGAGGCATTCATAGAGGCAGAATGCTATATACATAAAACAAATAAATAAATCTTTCTTTAAAAAAAAATCACCATGGGAAATAAAAAGCTTACCAGTTAACTGGGACCACAGCTAGAGATCTGGCTTCTGAAAATGGCAATAGGGGCTTGTTTTGGGTCAAAGAGCTTTTACAACTTTGAGGTCACGTTACATTTTAAGTTATACAACTTTTTGTTAAAGGATGTTAGGGTGTTAACTTGGGGTGTTTGCAAAAGCCTGTGGTTGATACAGCAGGTTTTCATTGTCCCTGAAAGAACACAAGGCACAGAATAGAGTCACATAGGAGAAAGGTTTAAAAATTAAGGGAATACAACAACTCCTCCTGCAATAGTTAGAAGCTAACCTTGGTCTGCTGTGCCTGCCTAGCTGGGAGGTAGGAGACAATTTACCTCTGTACACAGTGGCTGCCAGGGTGTCTGTTTTGTTGGGGTTTTTTTTTTTTTTTTTTTTTTTTTTTGAGACAAGGTCTCCCTGTAGCTTTGGAACCTGCCCTGGATCTCACTAAGCAGACCAAGCTGAACAGATAAATCCACCTGTCTCTGCCTCCCAAGTGCTGGGATTAAAGGCGTGCACCATCACCGCCTGGCAAGGATATCTGCTCTTAAGGCAGAAAGTAGCTGTTGAAGGTTAAGAGCGGCTGCCAGCTTTGTGGGTTGTTTTTGTTTTTGAAAATGTGTTTGGACTTATAATTTTATATATCTATATTCCTGTTCCCTTTATTTCTGCATCCCTATTTCTGGACCTTTCTGAGTCAACTATGATATAGGGGGCAGAAGGGTGGGTTTGTGCCTCAATTTCACTCCTCAGAATCCTCACTACCTACCCTTTTCTGTCAGTGAGCATTTAGACCACCAAAAGGAACTGTTGGAGGAACTGTATGAAGAGAAGCTAAAGATCCTGAAGGAATCATTGACAAGTTTCTACCAAGAAGAGATTCAGGTGAGTTTGCCCCAACCAGTCCCAACTGCCACTCATAATTCCATCGGTTAGTTGTCTGAAATAAAAAGAATTTCTACTTTTATTTGTTTATTTATTGGTTAATTTGGTTTGTGAGACAGAGTTTCTCTCTATAAGAATCTTGGCTATCCTGGAACTCTCTGTAGACTAGACTGGCCTCAGACTTGGAGATCCACCTGCCTCTCTGCCTCCTAAGTGCTAGGATTAAAGGTGTTTTAGAAACTCTAGTAACAACAGGAATGTATACTCCTTTTTCTTCATTTCCCTTAGTGCCTTGCAGTTACTGAGTTTAGGTTCAGGGTTCAAGGTCAAGATTTATGTTTGTTTAATCTGGTCCTTTGGTATTTGTCTGACCCTGGACAGAATTGTGCTCTCTGCTTCCCTCTTAGGAGCGGGATGAAAAAATTGAAGAGCTAGAAACTCTATTGCAGGAAGCCAAACAGCAGCAGCCTGTGGCTCAACAGTCAGGGTCTGAACTGTCCCTACGGCGGTCACAAAGGTTGGCAGCTTCTGCCTCCACTCAGCAGCTGCAGGAAGTTACAGCTAAACTAGAGCAATGCAAAGCAGAGTTAAACTCTACAACTGAAGGTGAGGAAGGAAGGCAGAAAGCCCTACAGTGGTAGTGGGCGAGGGAAGAGCTGGTATTCAAACTCCAAGCTGCATCCACCCACATCTTACTCTAGAATGCACATTGCCTCACTTTGGCTATGTACTACTGTTAAAAAGGTAAGCCAAAAGCTGAGAAAAACCTATATTAAGTGTACTTATATTGTGTTTCCCCCTCTCAGAGCTGCAGAAGTATCAGCAAATGTTAGAACCACCACCGACAGCCAAGCCCTTCACCATTGATGTAGATAAGAAGTTAGAGGAGGGCCAGAAGGTATTAACCTTTCTCTGTTATCAAAGCACTTTATCTGGAATTTATGTGAAAACGTGGGAGCTTGTTTTTGGTTTATTTGGAAAACCAGTTTTTGCTTTACATTTATTTATTTGTGTGTAGTACTGTGGGGGCCACATGGGTTCCATATGGGTTCCTGAGACTGTCAAGCTTGGGGAGCAAGTGCCCTCACCAACCTCCAGCCTCCATAAGTCTGTCTTCAGATGGCTGCCATGATTGATTTTGGCCACAATGTGATTCCTACTCTTTCAGAATATAAGAATGCTACGGACAGAGCTTCAGAAATTAGGACAGTCTCTCCAGTCAGCAGAAAGGGCCTGTTGCCACAGCACCGGGGCAGGGAAACTTCGGCAAGCCTTGACCAACTGTGATGACATCTTAATCAAACAGGTGAGTGCAGCCTAGATATCCCTCCCCTTTTTACCCCCCTCCAGTGTATATGTGAGAAGGAACTGACAAAGATGTACTAGTGAAAAAATGATGCTGATGTCATGTTGGGGGTGGGACCCAATGCTTCGTATATTCTAAACAGGCACTCCACCACTAAGCTATGACCTCTCCTGATGCCAGAGATCTTAAAATTTATACTTTTTAGACTGAACATGGTACTTGATACCTAGGGACAGGCTGAAAGTTCTGGTCTTTGTTTTCACAAGATGATGGGTTCTCTCTATTTAGTGCTGGCTGGCCTAGAATTTAGAAATGTTAGGATTTTTTAATTGTTTGTTTTTTGAGGCAAGGTTTCTCTGTAGCTTTGGAGGCTGTCCTGGAACTCCGACCAGGCTGGCCTCAAACTCACAGAGATCTGCCTGCCTCTGCCTCTCAAGTGCTAGGATTAAAGGTGTGTACTACCACACCCATTGAAGATTCAACCTTTGAAGAAACTAGTAATAGATGGCACATTTTTTTTTCTCTAACTTGTATGTTTCTTAGAACCAGACCCTGGCTGAGCTACAAAATAACATGATGCTAGTGAAACTGGACCTTCGGAAAAAGGCAGCCTGCATTGCTGAGCAGTATCACACTGTGCTAAAGCTCCAAAACCAGGCTTCTTCTTCTAAAAAGCGGCTGGGAACAAACCAGGAAAACCAGCAACCAAATCATCAACCCCCAGGAAAGAAACCATTCCTTCGAAACTTACTTCCCCAAACACCCACCTGCCAAAGTTCCACAGACAGTGGCCCTTATACACGGATCTTGCGCTCATGGCACTCTCCTTTGCTCAAATCTCCTTTTGGCAAAAAATACTAAAGTTGTGGAGATGAAAATGCATGCTTGATGCTCTGAGATTGGTCAGCTGCTCAGCTTGTCTCTTAAGCTTCAGCATATATGTATATATATCCTGAACTGTATTCAGAATTATTATAATACCTATATAATCTCTTTTTTTTTTTTCCCATGCACAAATATACTGAATAAAGACATGGTTTATGCTTTTATTTGGATTCCAAACTTAGAAAAATATAAAAAGGGGGACAGAAACTGATATAAATACCATCTGGCCCGTTGGACCCTTGGACAGGAACAGCAATGGGAACCAGCCTAAGGCGCACTACAAAATGAGTCAAATGGCAATACATATTTGAAAGGTTTGTTTTTTGTTTGGTTTTACTATATATGTAGCTCTGACTGGCCTGGAACTTGCTGTGTAGACAGCTGGTTTCAAAAAGTCCACCTGCCTCTGTCTCCAAAATGCTAGGATTAAAGACATGCTCCACAATGTCCAGATAATGTTTCTTTATAAATGAAGTCTTAAAAATAAAAGGGGAATAAAAATGTTCTGAGCACAAGAGAAGGAAGTCTACACCTTAACACAGAATGATCTAATAGCATCACATAGTACAAACATAACAAACATCAAGAACACAGAATGATTCCCTCAACCTTGAAGGTAAGGTTGAAAACAGTATTATTTACTAAAAGATGCCAGCATGAATTTTAATATCAGAAATAAAAAAGTTACTTTCAAATGTCCACAAGGTTATCTGCAATCTGGTCTCCTTGTGTTGCTTTCATCAGGGTATAGTTAATGCTATAGCCATCTCTGCCCTCAATATGAGCTACAGTTCATGCTCATTGAGACTTCCACTTGAAAGGTTTTAGAAGACTCCCTTTGAAAACCGTCTTCCCAAAGATCATGGATAGCTAGCTACATTCCATTTAAACCTAATCTCTGACATCACAATAGAGGCCACATTTGGCAAAATAAAGGTCATTCTAGCCAGGCCTCATGGCATATGCCTGTAATCCCATCATTAGGGAGGCTGAAGCAGGAAGGTCCTAGCCTAGGCTACACAGAGGTCATTACACCTGACCTCCCTACTGCCAGGAGGGAGGATAATCTTTACCTATCCTTGCCTATCCACTCCCAGCAGCATTAAAAACCTTGTTTGTGTAGCATTGCTTATGGTAAAGTGCTGTGAAAGGGGTTTTTGGAGGTGGGGAAGACTATGGGAAGGCCAAGAAGTGCTTGCTGGAAGAAGACAGTACTTGTCCCCTGCCATAGTTCTGTCTGCCTCTGAAGGTGATTCCATAGGCTGTCCCCAAGGCTGTTTCTATCTGTAAAAATGAGAAGAGCTTAGGTCCTTGGGAGAACAGATGTGGCTGTTCTTTACTGGAGGTAAGGCTTAATACTGGTCTAGCAATGTGCTGACTTGAGAGTTGTCAACTACGGTGTGACTGAAGACAGGTTGAGTGGAGAAACTCTGCGTGTTGGAGTGTTGTTGGCAGACAGTGAGGCAGGGAGGAAAAAGGTACCAGGCGTGTCACCGCTGGGCGTCTCCCCTTGGTTCCGCAACTGTAGGATCTGACGGAGCAAGGCCTTACCTTCTTCCCGGGTCTGAAACAAAGTCACAGCTGTCAAAATGTGTTCAATGCTATTCTCAAAAGCTGGTTATTAAAATACTGTTCAGAACATTCAAATAAAGAGTCCTGCCCCCTTAACAAAAAAAAGAGGAACTATTCAATGGATGACAGATCAAAGTAGGCTTCCCTACACATCATGTAAAGACTATACATTTCAGCCTAAAATCCAAACCTTTTAAGACCCAATACTCACATCATTGAATGCACAACACTTCTGGGCACAAGTTGAAGCTTCATCCCACAGCTTGCACTTAAAATAGTACTGGGCCAGATAGCGGAAGGCTGTGCTCTCCTCTAAGTGCTCCACTACTTCCTAGGATAAGGAAAGCAGGCATGACTGAGGTGACAAGAAGCTGTCAGTGACACAACTCTCATGCTCTGACACATACCCCACAGGAATAGATATCTTGGATGTATTTGATGTAACACTGGGCAGCCTGCTCTGACTCAGTCAACTGTTCATGAAGCCTACAAAAGAAATTGGGCTTTAAATCAAAGTCAGACCACAAAGATTAAACAGTGAAGACATAATTAAAACCAGAAATAACATATAAACAAGTAATTTTAACATATATAACATGTTGAGATCCCAAAGACTATCAGTGCCTACCAAATGGTTACTGTGGCACACGCCTTCATCCCAGCACTCAGAAGGCAGAGGCAGGTGGATCTCTGTGAGTTCAAGGCCATCCTGGTCTACAGGGCAGTTCCAGGATAGCCAGGCATACACAGAGAAACAGTCTTAAAAAAACAATATCTAAACAAACAAAACAAGATGTCTCCCAGGACTACATAGTAAGACCTTGTCTCAAAACAGAAAAAAAGGAAAAGCTAAGGGCTGGGTGAGATGGCTCAGCCTTTGAAGGCACTTGAAGCGAAGCCGGATAAAGATGCCCCGACCTCCATATGCACGTACTCATACACATATACATAAAACTTAAAAAGGCTTTGAAAAAAAAGAGTAGTTAACTTAAACTGACAATTGGATAATATACCCTTGCAAAACTATCCTGTTAATACTGGTAAGAATGAAAACTATATCAAACAACTAACTACTTCTGAGCAGTTCTCCCATGGACACAGGCCTTGATACATGCTAGGCAAGTCCTCAACCACAGACTACACCTCTAGTACATTCCTATCTTTTTCAATTCATTTTTCATCTCTTGCCTAGTAGGAAATCTATTTCCAATTCAATGTGAAGTGGCATTCCCTAGAGTCAAGAAGCTAGGGCCAGAGCCAGGCGTTGGTGGCACACGCCTTTAATCCCAGCACTCAGGAAGCAGAGGCAGGCGGATCTCTGTGAGTTCGAGGCCAGCCTGGTCTACAAGAGCAAGTGCAAGGATATGCTCCAAAGCCACAGAGAAACCCTGTCTCAAAAAACCAAAAAAAAAAAAAAAAAAAAGCAGCTAGGGGCTAGGGCCAGAATATAACTTCGTGCCTAGAATGTCTGAGGTTCTGGGTTCATCTACAACACGGAAAAAAAGTGGTGCTCAATTGCAAAACCAGCATTTCCACACCCTGCTCCATGCCCATATTCATATATGACATGACCTCAGGAAAACCAACACAAGTATCAGAAACATTCACTCACTTTGCCAGCTTCACGAGAGCCATTTTCTCCACATCTCCCACAGCATATGCTCTCCAATAACACTGTCAAAGAATAAACCAGTCACTTCTGACTACTGCCCATGTGGAACAACTAATCACATAAATGCTAAGGCCATGCAAGCCTTCTAGAAATGCAGGCTTGCACAATACAGAACATTTTTCCTATCTGTTACAGGTCCAGGCTACATGTAAACATCCACATTGATAATCTCAGTCTAATTTCTTTTTATCCTCTGCACCTACAAAATATTCAGACTTTGCTATCAGAATACGGGGGGGGAGGGGGGGGAGATCACAGCATATACAGCCCAACCTCCTTCTAAACAACAGATTTTTCCTCAAATTCTCCAGGCCAAAATTTGAGGTACCTTTTTGGCTTCCACTAGTTGATTGAGTTTCTCATAACATTCTCCTAAGGCAACCAGCATACGTGAATCATTGGGACTATAAAAAAGGGTAACAAATAGTTAGAACAAAGACTTTACCAAAACCTCAGTTGAAAGGCTAACCTCTATTTCTATGCTATTCCCAATATGCAAGGACTATTCTTCAATCAATACTTCATTTAATTACATTACTTTGTGTTCATAATTATCCAATAAATCTACTAGTAGAGACACTAAGTAAAAATTACTAGACCACCCCCTTTATGCCTGAGAGAGAGATGGTATCGTATTAACCCTTCCCATGTTGTCGAGAAACCAACTTACCGAAGCTGGTGGGCCCGTCTATAATAATAAAGGCAATAAAATGGCATCTTAAGGATTTCATAAGTCTGCCCAAGTCCATACCAAGCTCTGTAGTCTCTTTTATTGACCTCAATGGCATGTCTAAGAAATAGACAAATCAGACCAGAAGCATGGTAAAAGAATTAAGGGTGGCAACACATAGGCTTAACAGAAGTTCCCGATAACACAGGAGTCTGTTCTACTTTCCCTCCCCAACCCAACTTGATGCTCACCGGTAAGCTTGGATAGCAGCAGATGTGTTTTTCATTTCCATGTACTCATGCCCCATCAATGTCCAGGCCCCAAGATACCTAGGATTCAACTTTAGGGCTCTCTGGAAATATAAGGCTGCTTTCTCATGCTGGGAGCGTAAGCTATAATAATTTCCTGATTAAAAAAACCAAAATGATTCACAGTAAACACACACAGGCTTGGTGGCTTGGTTGTTTAAGAACATTGGTTGCTCTTCCAGAGGACCCAGATTCAATTCCTAGCACCCACTGTAACTCCAGTGCCAGGGGACCCAAGACCCTCTTCTAGTCTCCTTTTTTACCAGGCACATACATACATACACACACACACACACACACACACACACACACACACACACACATAAATAAACGTTTAAAACTAACATAAAAAATTAAAAACTGTTGCCTCATTTATCTCATGTACACATAGCATTTATGTACATTTCTGTAATATGAGAATTTTCTATAGCATGCTTTAGATTGGTGATTTATTTTGGTTTTTCGAGAGATAGTGTTTCTTTTTGTAGCCCTGGCTATCCTGAAACACTCTCTGTAGACCAGGCTAGCCTTGAACTCAGAGATCAACCTGCCTCCGCTTCCCCAGTGCTAGGATTAAAGGCGTATGCTACCACGCTGGCTTGATTTTTCGTTTGTTTAAATTAGTGGTTCTAAACTATATTATTTTAAACCTAGACTTCAAAGGAATTTCTCAAAAGAATTAAAAAGGTAGAGCTCTGAGCATCTTACCCAAGAATCACAGCATTCTATTACAACTGTTTGTGAAAAGACAAATTAAATTGACTTAAGATGCTATAAAAGATTTACGAGTCTAAAAGTTACCTGTCTTACCATAAGTCATGAATGGATAAGCAAAATACGGCAGATCCAAACAATGGGACCCAATCCAGAAAGAAAAAGAATTACTTTAGATGCTACAACATTCCTAAATCTTAAAAGCATGCTGGTTTAAAGGGCCGCAAATGCTTTAAATCCTAGCATTTGGGAGGGAAAGGCAGGCAGAGCTCTGTGAGTTTGAGGCCACTGTGGTATACATAGTAAGCTCTAGGCAGTCAGAAAAGGAAAAAAAAAAGATGCTAACTAAAAGAAGTTAGACAATAAGATTTTATCAAGCAATATTATTCATTAACATAAAATTTCCATAAGAGGCAAAATTATCAGCTAACCAGTGGCCTAGGGCATGGGGAAAGAGGTGTGTGTGTGTGTGTGTGTGTGTGTGAGAGAGAGAGAGAGAGAGAGAGAGAGAGAGAAATAAAAGTGGCTAACTCTCACCAATTACACAGCACGTTTCTACTCGGTATTTATCAATTTCACAGAGGTTATGCGCCAGATAACTCAATTCAGACTTCATGCTCTGGGAAAAAAGAGGAACACCTCATGAGCCTGACAAAGCACCCTGAAGCTGTTTTTTCTTTAGATAATGCAAACATGATAATCTAATCTAGAAGCTTCTTCAAGTGCAATCAAGAGGAACAAATTACCCTGACATAAAGAAGATTGGAGAATGTGTCCATATTTTCAATCCTGTAAGGGTCTTGTTTTCTCAGCTCATTAAAAATAGAAAGGGCTTTGTCGATATCTGCAAAAAAAAGGCAGAGTTCAAAACCAACTAACTGTACCCCGAGTCTTCAAAACCCAACCAACTGCACTCCGAGTCTGTCGGCATTCCAGTGTCCTTATTCACTCACCTCTGATATTGTGATAGGCAACTGCAATCTGGGAAACAATGTATGAGCTCTTGGAAAAGCCCACATCAATGAGATGTTGGTACTTCTGCAGGGCCTCCTCTATCAGCTGCAATTCTGTGTATATATGAGCCAGGAAGAATTCTTTCATCCAGGTGTCAGGCAAAGACAGGAACTTGAGCTAGCACCAGAAAGGGATACACTTAGTATAATCTCGTCTTTCTCCCAAAACAACACCAAAGAAAGATAACTTTCTAAAAGGATTCATCACTAAAATTCTATTAGAATACCTACAAATGAATACAGAGTAATTTCACTTATAAACATAATTAGGAGAGAATGGTGCAGTAGAATAGACTTAAAAAAAAACAAAAACAAAAAAACAAAAAACAAGGGGCTGGAGAGATGGCTCAGAGGTTAAGAGCAATGACTGCTCTTCCAGGGGTACTGAGCTCAATTTCCAGCAATCACATGGTAGCTCACAACCATCCGATATGAGATCTGGTGCCCTCTTCTGGTGTGCAGATATACATGGAAGCAGAATGTTGTATACATAATACATAAATAAAATCTTTGAAGAAAAAAAAAAAAAACACAGCCGGTGTTGGTGGCGCACGCCTTTGATCCCAGTACTTGGGAGGCAGAGGCAGGCGGATCTCTGTGAGTTCCAGACTAGCCTGGCCTACAAGAACTAGCTCCAGGACAGCCTCCAAAACCACAGAGAAACCCTGTCTCGAAAAACTAAAACGAAACAAACAAACAGAAAAAAAAAAAACACAAAACAAACAAACCCACAAAACTTGAGAATAATTAGAATCTAAATAGAACAGAGAGAAGAGAGAAAAGACAGCATTCTAGACAAGGGCAACAGTAAGAGTACAGTGGCTAAAACAAGGAAACTAACTTTGTTTAAGGAAGCTTTGTGTAAAAAAAAGTGGATCCCATCACACACCAGAAAACAAGACACAGTAAGAAACTACTGCAAATTTCTGCCCACCAAAGTGTTTTAAGATGGCTCCTTTGCTGAGTCAGAAAGATGGCCATGAATTTGATATCAGTGTGGTCTTCACAGAGAAAGCCATCTTTAAAAAAAGAAGAAGGAGCTATGCACGGTGGTACACATTTTTAATGCCAACACTTGGAAGGCAGAGGCAGGAGGATCAGCCTGGATTACACAGCAAGTTCCAGGACAGCCAGGGATACATAAAGAGATGTGTGTGTGTGTGTGGGGGGGATGGTGCTCTTACAGCAGACCTGGGTTCAATCCCCAGCACCCACAAGGTGGCTCAAAACTACCTGTAATTCCAGAGATTCTGATGCCTTCTTCTGACTTCCTTGGGCACCATGCACACATACGGTGCACATAAATTCATGAAGATGAACACTTGTACACATAAAATAAAACTAAGTCTTTTTTTATAATAAAAAAAGGAATTTTGGAAATTGTGTGCAGGATGGCTTGGAAATGGAAGAGTGTGTAAACCAGAAGCTATAGAGAAAGTTATTTATTATTTAATTAAGTAATCCCGATCTGAGATGCTAACAGACGTGAAAAGCAACTAAGAAAAAGATTCCTATAGAAAAGTAACCATGGCACTGTTTCAACCCTAGGTAAGAGAGACAGGAGAAAAGGAGGCAACGGTGGAGAACTTTCTCAGCTCAGGGAAGGGGCTAGATTTAATGCCTACTATGTCCAGCACCAATAGTAACCACCCCCACCTAAACTCAAGATATGTTGAGTAGTGACAGTAATGATCAAGCTGGAAGGAAGAAAAATCTGATAGGCAAGGAAAGACAGACTTTGATATGCAAGATGAAAAATTGCTTTTGTATATTTTAGATATAAGGAAAGCCTAACAGAAGTGAGTACAAATAAAGTTACATTTTCAGACACTGATTTAGCAGCACAAACCATTGTTGGGGGAACTGAAGAATCAACCCACCTTTAGTTTTTGCTTTGTTTTGGTTTGATTTGGTTTTTTGAGACAAAGTTACTCTGTGTAGCTTTGGAGGCTGTCAAGGAACTCACTCAGTAGACCAGGCTGGCCTTGAACTCATAGAGATCCATCTGCCTGTCTCTGCCTCCTGAGTGCTGGGATGAAAGGCGTGCGACACCACCGCCAGACAGTTTTTGTTGCTTTAAAACAAGGCCTCACAATCTAGCCCTGGCTGGCTTGGAATTGGATACATAGATGAAGATAGCCTTGAACTCCATACAGACCTGCCTCCCAAGTGCTGGGACTGAAGGCACTGGCCACCATACCTGGCCTACCTTTAGCTATTTAGGAGCAACAAAAGGATTGAAACAACAAGTAGTTGCTTCTATCAACTACCAAAGAAGGACAAAATGAATACTAAACAGAGTTCACAAGTAGCAACTAATAAAAAAGATTTCAAGGCAGGGCATAATGCCACATACTTTTAACCCCAGCACTTGGGAGACAGAGGCAGCCTGATCTGCATAGAGTCAAGGCTACATAGACAGCTCCTGTCTCAAACAAAAAAGCCAGGCATGAGAATATACACCTATACTCCCAGGGAGGGAGGAAGGTGGCAGCAGAAGAACCAGCAGGTTAAATAAACCCTAGGCTACCTAGCAAGTTCAAACAAACAAAATAGTGAAAGGGGCTGGGGACACAGCAAAGAGCTAGCTACCAATAAAGTCTACACTGGGAGCACTCCTCCCCATGAGACTATCACAGATTACAGCGTTTCCCCATGAAGCTCCTGTTAACTTACCATCTCTTTGTCTGTGATCAGGTTACACAGCTCCAACCAAGCTCCCCAGTGCAAAGGCAAAACATGAGTAGCCTCCACAAACACATCAATGGCCTCTTTCACCAAGTCCAGTTTCCGAAGCACCACCCCGTACCTGAGAAAGAAAGTCACAGCCACCATGAAAGGTTATGCCTGAGAACGCATCCTCTACTTAAGAGGGCAAACGTGCCGTTGAACACCCAAACCCCTGGTGACACTCACAGGTAAAGGCCAAATCCATCGAGTCCCCTGGCCTGGTGCTTCCTGCTGAGCTCCACTCTCAGTTCTCTGAGAGCCTCATTTTTCACCTGTCCTTTTTCTAGAGGTCCTGGGAGAGAAACAGTCTCTCATCTGAGGAAAGGATGCTCCTTTTCTTCCTCAGACACACACACACATTTCTGTTATCATCTACCAAAATTGTACCTGCAACTCCTCACACAGCCCATTTACTCTAGATCATGGCTGGTGTGCAGTCCTAGGTTATCAACGTTTACAAATCAGAAGCTTCAATTAAAACTGAGTTTTCCACCTTAGGTTGCAGAAAACAAGCATGGGTTAAGGAAAGCAATTAAGCCACCAGGCCAATTCCCACAGCAGCTCTGAGGTGGAGCTGGGTGACAACCAGGTAGCTGAGAGAGGCCATGAGCTCTCCATTCTGCATGGACCATGCAGTCTACTTATGGTACCTTCATGGACTCTATGGTATCTAAGTGTGCAGATCTGCTTTATTTTTGGTGGTGGTGGGAGGATGACAACGTACCTAGGCTATCAACTGTTTCATCATCCTTCTTTTTTTCTCCAGACTGTAAGAGAAGTGGGGGGGAAAAAAAAAATCAACAAATACATTTTTTTTTTCCAGCCTTTTCTGAAATGTTTTCCAAAATCAACAGCCTGACTCTATCTACAGGGCTGACGAAAGTCTAAGCAAAATAACACCCACCTTATAAACAACATTCATTCAGGTGTTCCCACTTGCTAAATATGGAGTACACTGAGAACCAAAGACTTAAATACAGTAATGAGTCATTGACAGTTAAAAACATGAGAATCCATGAGTTCATGTTGATACTGAGTAGAAAAATAAATGTGGGAGGGGATGGAAGCTCTTACTGGAATGTAATGCCTCATGTCGATCAAGTGTGGAAAGACACGAAAGCGGAAAAAACAATTCTGAAATATCAGGTAAAGGGGTTTTGAGGGAAGAAAAAGTCTATTTTAGGCAAAAATCAGCAATGGGTATTGGGGCTGAAAATGTAACTCAGTTAAGATTGTTTACCTAGCCAGGAGGTGGTGGTGCACGCTTTTAATGCCAGCACTCAGGAGGCAGACACAAGAGGATCTCTGTGAGTTTGAGGCCAGCCTGGGCTACAGAGTGAGTGCCAGGACAATAGGACAGCTAGAACTACACAGAGAAACCCTGTCTTGAAGGGGGAAAAAAAAGACTCTCTGCCTTTGTCTGCCTACCATGAATGCAGCAGCTTACTATGCTGGTCAGCTTATGGATAACAGAACAAAAAATGGGTAAGAAGCATCAGACATTCCATATGACAATTTTTTGTTTGTTTGTTTTTCAAGACAGGGTTTCTCTGTATAGTTCTGGCTGTTCTGGAACTCACTCTGCAGACCACGCTGGCCTCAAACTCACAGAAATCCATCTGGCTCTGCCTCTCCAATGCTGGTATTAAAGGCATGGGCTGCCACCACCACCACCAGCTCCAGACATGGAACTTGTACTATATTATATATTTCTGACTTTGGAATGGTACTTTTTATACTATGCTATATTACTTGATTTTGTACATGTCTTCAAAAATACTTTTTAAAATAATAAATGGATATAAATTCTAAATTTACAAAGTACTATTTTGGTTCCAGGGGCAGCCTGGGCTATGTGGCATAGTAACAGTATCCAAAACAAACAATTACAAATACAATATTAATTTTACTTTCAATATAGACCAGGCAGGCTTTGAACTAGGAGAAATCCTTCTGCCTCTGCCTTTTGAGTGTTAGGATTACAGGAGTATGCTGCCATACAAGGCTGCATTGACATTTATATTAAAATTTTTAACAGCCGAAATAAAGTCATAAATATACTATAAATAAGTGATAAGTGAGTTCATAAAACTTTAAATCAACTAAGACTTTTTAACTCAGTTCTATTTGGGGGGGGGGAGTTCCTTTATTTTATTTATTTATTGATTGATTCATTTATTTACTGAGATAGGATTATACTATGTAGCCCAAACTGATCTCAAACTCTTATTCCTTCTGCCTTGGCATCTTAAGTACTAGGATTCTTAGTGTATATCACCAGGTCCTGCTTTCAGGCCTTTTGTTTTGAGTTAGGATCTCTACCCCTACCTGGCCTTCCAACTGACTATGTCACTGTGTAGACCAAGATAGCCTCAAACTTGCTGGGATCCTTAACTCTCTGCATCTAGAATATGGAGATTATAGACACCACCACACCTTGTCAATTCTTAAGCAGTAGTATCAATTCATAAAGTAACCTGCATAACCCAAAGAAAAGAGTCATCCTGTTTGTTGTTAATCATCCCATCTACATTTTTTTATGTTGCCATTTCTTTAAACTTTGTTACTCTCCTTTTTTTTCTGTCTGTCTGTGAGTCTTTTTTTTGTTGTTTTTTGTTTTTTTGTTTTTTTGAGACAGGATTTCTCTGTGTAACAGTCCCGGAACTCACTCTGGCCTCTAACTCAGAGATCTGCCTGCCTCTGCCTCCCAAGTGCTGAGATTAAAGGCATGCACTACCATCACCCAGCTCAATTGCTTTCTTCTTTTCTTCTTTCCTTTTTTTTTCTTTCTCTGAGACTTTGTGTAGCCCTAGACTGCTAGAAATTCACTATGTAGACCAGGCTAGCCTTGAATTCACAAAGATCCACCTGCCTCTGCCTCCCAAGTGCTGGGATTAATGGTGTACACAACCAGGCCTGGCATCAACTTTTTTAATATCATTACTGCAATAGTTATTAAGTACATTCACTTGATGATCCACTACCTAGATATTTAAAAATTAAACTTTTTCAAGGCTGGAGAAATGACTCAGTGGTTAAGAGCATTGGCTGTACTTCCAAATGCCCCAGATTCAAATCCCAGCACCCACATAGCAGCTCATAACCATCTGCAACTCCTGTTTCAGAAGCTCCAATACCTTCTTCAGGCCTCTGCTGGTACCAGGCCCACCCATGATATACCTATATACATGCAGGTAAAACATTCATATATGTGTGTGGGTGTAATTTCTTATTAATTAAAAGTTTTACTCTTGATTCTAAATACAGATGCTTCACTGAAGGCAGAATAACATCTTAAAGTGACCCTCACCAGGTATCTGGAATACATGTACAGGAAATATGCTTTCTTGCTATTGCAGCCATGCAGGAAGTGTGCTGCCCGGTCATACTCTTTAACATCAAAGTAGGCCTTGGCCAGGGTGTAAGCATCGACGTCCTGGGCATCCTCCTAGAAGAAACAAGGTTGCATGAGTGGGTAGGACTAAGACAGTCAAAGTGCACCTATAAAAAGCACAGTCATTAATTTCAAGGTATAGGAAAAGAAAAATTATTTCTACTCCCCCAAAATGGGCAAATACATGAATTTATACAGTACTTTTTAATAATGTATCATCTGTAAAGCCAAAGAATTTTTTCAAAATAAAAAGTGGGGTGCTTGCTTTGGCAGCATATATACTAGAAAAAAAAAAAAAGAAGTGGGGCTTTGCACGGTGGTGCACACCTTTGATCCCAGCACTTGGGAGGCAAAGACAGGCGGATCTCTGTGAGTTCAAACCAAGCCTGGTCTGTATAGCACTGTATAGCACTGGCTATCCAATGAGGACAATCCAAGGAGAAAAAAAATGGGGAGAGGAGAAAACGGTATTGGGGGGTGGTCATCCTCATTACTATAGTGGTGAGTATCCCTGACTGTCACACACTAGACTGGGTTTGTTGGGGCTAGCAAGATAACTCAAAAGGTTAAGAACACTTGTGATCAAGCCTGAAAACCTTAGTCAATTCCCAGGACCCACATAGTAGCAGGAGAACCAACTCCTGCAGGCTATCTTCTGACCTCAACATATGTGCCATGGCATGCATGCAAACACAGACATACACAGTAAGTAAAGTAAATAAATAAAATTTTATCTGAATTATGATGAAATTCACCCAGGACAGGTATGGTGCCTATAATCTCAGCACTCAGTAGGCAGAAGGAAGAGGATCATTGAAAGCCCAAGACCAATCTGGTGTACATATTAAGTCTGAAATCAGTAAACACTACCAAAAATTTATGCAAAACTATATAAACATACACACATAAAATAGTATTCCTAACTCTTCATGCACCTGTGTAACTCAGAAAGTTTTACTACTTGGACTATACACCTTTAAATTTGTATTTTGGAGCCAGCAAGATGACTCCATGGGTAAAGGAGCCTGCCACCAACCCTGAAAAACCTGAATTTGATACCCAGGACCCACATGGTAGAAGGAGACAACCAACGCCCAAAAATCATCTTCTGATCACTACATGGCATGGTAGTGCACATCTTTAATCCCAGCACTCATGAGGCAGGCAGAGCTCTGTGGTTTAAGGCCAGCCTGGTCTACATAGCAAGTACAGACCAGTCAAAATGTCTTAGGGTTACTATTGCTGTGATGAAACACCATGACCAAAGCAACTTGGGGAGGAAAGGGTTTATTTCACTCACAGTTCTATATTAACAGTTCATCATCAAAAGCAGTGAAGACAGGATCTCAAGCAGGGCAGGAACCTGGAGGCAGGAGCTGATGCAGAGGCCATGGAGGGTGCTGCTTACTGGCTTGTTACTCATGGCTTGTTCATTGTACTTCCTTATAGAGCCTAGGACCACCAGGCCAGAGATGGTACCACCCACAATGGACTGGGCCCTCCCCATAATCACTAATTAAGAAAACGCATCACAAGCCAGGAGGGAGGCCTGGAGGTGGTGGCACAAGCCTTTAGTCCCAGCACTCAGGAAGCAGAGGCAGGTGGATCTCTGTGAGTTCGAGATCAGCCTGGTCTACAAGTTTCAGGACTGCCTCCAAAGCCACAGAGAATCCCTGTCTCGAAACCCCACCCCACCCCACCCCCAAAATAAGAAAAAAAAGAAAGCAAATGCCATACAGTTGGATCTTATGGAGGCATTTCCTCAATTAAAGTTCCCTCCTTTCATATAAAACTATCCAGCACACAAGGCTACATAATGAGACCCTGTCTCAAAAAACAAATAAGTAAAAACAAATTTTTACTTTCATTTTTGCTTCAGGAAACACCCAGAATGTTCTGCTCAAAGTCAGAGACAATGTAATTCAGAGTAATTTGGTTTTAAAATAACAGTTTCACCCAGCCTAGTGGCATAGGCCTTTAATCTGAGTTTAATCACAGAAAGCTGATTCAGGAAGATGGCAAATTTAAGCCCTGCCTGGGTTCCTCAGTGAGACCCTAGTCTCAGAACAAAGAGTGGAGCTGAAGTGAAGGCTCAGCAGTTAAGAGGAATGGCTGCTGTTGTAGAGGACCTGAGTCTGGTTCCCAGCACCCACAAGGCATCTTAAAGGGAATCTGACATCATCTGCTAGCTTCCATAAGCACCAGGCACCAATGTGCTGCACACACACGAAGGCAAGCACACACAGAGATATATATAATGAAAATAATTTTTTTCCGAGACAGGGTTTCTCCATGTAACAGCTTTGGCTGTCCCGGAACTCAATCTATAGTCCAGGCTGGCCTCGAACTCCAAGAGATCCACCTGCCTCCCCAGTGCTGAGATTAAAGTTGTGGGACTCCACCATCTGGCTCATAAATCTTTTTTTTTTTTTTAAGTAAAAAGAGAGCTACCAATATAAAATGTCTTAGTGTTAGCATGCTTGCTTAGCACAGGTCTTAGGTCCAGCACCTAAAAGAAAAACCAAACACCTAAAGTTTTAATGTTTACTCTAAAATTTAGATCAAGGCTAAATTAGATTTAAATATTTCTTCCATGACAGTCCTTAGAGAAAAAATAAATAAAAACAATAAGTGCTCAGCAAATCAGCAAAGGGGCTGCTAAGTCAATACATCTCATAGCAACCTAAAGCTATTAACCTTACCAATAGCTAACACTTAAAATGTCTAAAATGTCTATAAAACCCAAGTATTACATGAGTCCTTAAAAATTATTTTTGTAGTTTGCATTTACTGAGAGCATGTAGAGGCCAGAGAACAACTTTCAGAAGTCAGTTCTCTCCCTCCACCTTGTGTGGTTCAGGAAGCCAACTCAAGTTGTCAGCCTTTTTAGCTGGTCCATGTGACATGAATTCTCAGGATGGTGATATTTACTGAAGCTCTTCTCTCATTTGACACTGTTCATTGTTTACTCATTCAACAAAGCTTTATCCAACTAAGGACATCAATGTGCCTCCCACTGTGATTGTCAGCACAGAGAAGTACAAGCCAATAAGACACAATGATTTTAAACAGTCATATAAAATAATATATGCTTTATTTTACCCGAATGGCTTAATCTTCTTGGAAACTGGAAATTTATTAATATTATCTACAAGTGAAAAGGCTTCCACTTTTGGGAGGGGGTTGGAGGGTTGAAGTAGGTGCTCACTTAATAGGCTGGCCTCAAACAATTGGCAATCCCCCTTTGTCAGCATCCCAAGTGTTTCTACTCCAAGTATGAGCTACTATACCCAGCAGCAGAAAGCTTGCCTCTTCTAATTCACCTACCAGCATTAATGGTGTTAGTAGAGAACTTGCCTGAAATACAGATGAAAAACTACTTGCAAGTCACATGCACTCTGTCTCCTGCTGTTAATGAGAATGGTTAATTTTACTGAATCCTATTTGCCTGGTACACTTTGGGGGGGGGGGTAGTGTTGAGTCGGGTTTCTGTGTAGCCTTGACTGTCCTGGAACTTGCTCTGTAGACCAGGCTGGCCTCAAACTCAGAGATCTGCCTGCCTCTGCCTCCTGAGTGGGATTAAAAGCTGTGACACAGCCCAGCCCAAACCCATACTCTTAAAGCAATTTGCAACCAAGAGCAATGGTGTAGAAGAATGATTTCACTCTGATGCAAAAACTTCATGTTTCTTATTAGCATTGTTCAGGTTGGCTTCAAAACCTAAAGGGCTCCATGGGTTTGTTTTTGTTTTCATTTTCTGTATATGAGCGGTATGCCTGAATATGTCTGTGTACCACGTGCATATCTAGTGCCCTCCAAAGCCAGAAGATGGTATCGGATGCCCCTGGAACTTTGTCCCAGGCAACTGTTAGTTGCCTCTGTGGCTACTAGGAATCAAACCCAGTTCTTCTAGAAGAGCAGTAAGTACTGCTAAGTGAAGAGCCATCTCTCTGGCTCAAGGATGAATTTGATTTTAGATTTTTCTTTATGTGTATGTATGTGTATCTGTACACCGTGTGTGTGTGTGTGTGTGTGTGTGTGGGTGTGTGTGTGTGTGTGTGTG